CTGTGTGTCAGTACTGTTTACTGATCATCCTCTAACATTCTCCCCTTCCTCTAATCCCCGCATTTACAAACATGTACATTGTCCTTATGATCCATGTTTATCTTCTAGACCTAGCTTCCACGTGTGAGGTAAAACATGACCTTTATCCTCCTAAAGTTGACTTTCTTCCCTTAGTGTAGGATTTCCACCCATTTCCCTAAAAATGACGTAAGTCACATATGGCTAAATAATACTGGTGTGTGTGTGTCACACTAACTTGATCCATTTTCTAGGCTGTTTCTGTAGCTTGGTTGTGGTGAATAGTGTTACAATGAGCATGGGTGTTGAAGTGCTTCTGTTGTAGCTTGACTTACATTCCTTGGGATACTTGCCCAGGAGTAGTCTTGCTTCTATTTTCAGTTGTTTGAAGAACACTGGTTTGCAATCTTGCCGTGGATATGAGTTCCTCCACTCACACATCCCTGACCACACTTGTCTTTTGTGGTCTTGATGATGGCCATTCTGGCAAGAATCAGATGAAAACCTAGTGCTGTTTTGATTTGTGTTTCCTTTGTAGCCAGGGATACTGAGCATTTCTTCTGGCTATTTCTACTTCTTCTTTCAAGAATTGTCTGGTTCATTTGCCCATTTATTAATCAGGTTGTTGATTCTTTGGAAGTTTAGGGTTTTTAAGCTCCTTGTATGTTCTGGTTATTAATCACTTGTCAGATGAATAGCTGGCAGGATCTTCTCCCTTTTTGTAGGCTGTCTTTTCAACCTAGTAACTGTTTCCTTTGTTGTGCAGCTTTTCAGCTCGATGTGATCCCATTTTGTCAATCCTTACCAACTCGGTTTAGGCAGGCTGGCATGCAGTATGCCTGCAGGAGGACCCTGGCTCTCTTAGCCTCCACCCAGTGGTTAACGTACCTGGCTGACCTCAAAGACAAGACTGGAAAGAGCAAGGAGAATTTCCACACTGCCCACCAGGGCTGATCCACTTGAAATTGGCCACACCACCCTCTGCCCCTGTTCTCTCGTGTGCTGCTTGGTCAGTGTCAGGAAATACAAGCTTCATGCCAGGGGAGAGGACGGCTCCCCTAGAATAACCGCGCAGAGGGAAGTTTGTGCTGGAGGCTTCTAGCCAGCTGTCTCCCCCGTGTTGGCAGTTCAAGGAAAGCATGTTCCTGTCACAACCAACCAGAAGCGCTGTGTCCTGGGACACCTTCTCCTCCACAGTCCACAAGGGCAATGGGCCAGGGCTTCTCAAAGGCCACAGGTGCAGTTGAACTTCACAAAGGGTGCTGCATGCGCAGGAATCCCAGAACGCCTATGTAGCACGGTGCACTGTGGTTCTGTTCCTTTGTAAGTGACCCTGGAATTGCCGACGGTTGGCCTGTTTCTTTAAGAACGCTTCAGAGCAGGGAGATCCCCGCTTTGGGCACTGAGGCACATGGGTGCCCAGCAGTGTCTCTCGTCCACTGGGCAGAAGCTGCAGGAGGCCACGTCCATTTGTCAGCCTCTGACATCCTTTTGGGCTAGGTTGACAAGAACCAGAGAGTTCCCATGCCAGTCTTCCAGGCATTGTTCTTCTTGTGGCAGGTGACATCCTAGGAGCGGCCTGGGGGTGGGAGGAGGGCTGGTGGTTGATGTGGGAGCACTGGTTTTGTCTTATGGCCAGTGCCAGGGTCTGTACCGCACAGGTTTCCAACTGTACCACACAGGTTTCCAACAGCAGTGCTTTCCCGAGGCAGGATTTGGCTGTGAGGGTTGCATTTTCATCCCAGGCAAGGTGCTTGGAAGGCTGGGTTGTGGGATTTGAAAAAGCATGGGCCGTAACTGTTGGAGTTTCAAGGTTTGCCAGTGAGGAAGTGTGAAGAAACTCCCCCGTCATAAGAGAGCCGTGAGCGGCGCGGCCACACCGGGCTCTTCCCCGGACGAGCCGGTGAGGCTGGAGGAGAGGGCAGGGCAGGAGAATAAATTTCATTTTATTATAGAAATGGAAATTTGTGTCGTGGCTTTAAAAAAGCTGGTTTTATGTGTGTGTTTAATGCCATTCATTTTAAATGTAGTCCCATAAATCCTTGCTTCGGAATCAAAGCTGTTTAATTACATTTCACCCATGACTAGCTATCTAATGCCGATAGAGAAAGAGTTAAAAGGAGAGTTACAGAGTAAATCAGAGGTGAGATCTTTAGCACAAGCATAAAAAATCAATTTAAGATGAATTTTACTACTATAAAAATTCTTCACATATCCTTTTAAGAGCGAGAAATGCTAAGAAACAGCTCACATTTCAGACCCTCAGCAAGATGGAAGGGAGGCCGGCGTGAGCGGGCCGGCAGGGCAGCCGGGCGCGGCCTGCAGGCATCTCTGTGGGACTGGCACCCCGCGGTCACAGGTGGGTACCAGAGCCCCGACATCTGCGTTAAAATGCCGCTCCTCCCACAGTGGATTCCCCCGTTTGCAATGCGCAATGGTCCCTGGATCCCAAGTCCTGAGCAGAGCCTGGCCCTGGGCCTTGAGGAGCTGGCCTTGGCCGCCCGGCTGGCCAGTGTGCACACCTTGGGATCTGCTGAGGTCACAGGTCCCACTCGGAGCTCTGCTGCAGAATGTGCCAGCCCGGGTGGTTCGGCGCCTGCTGTGCCCAGGCTGCGGCTCGGTGAGCCTCGTCCTGAGTGCTGTCGAGGGCCTGGCTGCGCGGGGGCAGCTAGGCTTCCTCAGAACGGTGTGAAGAGGCCCCGGGAGAGGACACTCGCTCGGGGGACACGACAAGGCCGTGGTGGGAGCCCTTGGTGTCCACAGACCTCTCACCCGAGCCCTGGGGCCCAGCACAGGCTCCCTGCCCTGCCCTCGCAGGCAGCGGACCTGCAGCCAGCGCAGGAGCTAGGAGCCGCCACTGGGCCCCCGGGGTCCCCCACAGGAAGCCAGGCAGTTCTCCACGACAGTCCCCAGTGGAGACATGCTTGCTGCTTGCCACAGCCCTCGAGTGTGGCCAGTGTGGTTGCGGTAATGGGGGGGCGGGTTTGAACGCCATGGGCTCTGTCCCACGCTCTTCTGGCAGGCTGCATTTAATGGCCGTCATTGTCAGTGTGGCTGCCCTAAGGGGAAGGCAACACCATTTCTGTTGAGCCTGTGCCTTCCGTTCTGAGGCAGAGAAAGTTCCAGCATACCGGCCCCGCGTGTATCAGCCTACGGATGTGAGCCGTCCTTGGCAGTGTGACCGGAGTTCCCTTTGCTGGCAAGCAGGGGACCGCAGCGACAGCGCTTCCTCCGCTGCTGCCTCATCCCTCTGTGACAGTAGAAGGCCTGAGTTCATTCCTGCCTCTCAGGGGCATCAGGACCAACCGCTCTGGGCACACCTGAGCGCCAGCCAGGGGTACTGGCCACATCGTCTTCCAAGCTAGCTGTGGACTAAAGGGAACCGCGGGTCTCCTGAATCCAACGCTGTGATCTCAGATGCCAGCCGGAAACATTCTCCATACAGACAGTGTCACGTGGGCACTGGGAGCTGGTGGAGCCTGACACGGTCCTCGTCCATTTTCCCAACACCGCTGTCCTGGACAGGGCAGCTGGGGCCTTCTGTACTCTGGTCAGGACCCCCTGCCCTGCTGATGCGGCCTTCTTTCCTGATGCACACAGCTACTGCCCACCTTTCTCCACGACCCTCCCATCCCAGCCCTCGCCTCTGACCGTGAGGCCTTGCTCTCCTCTGTGCCTTTGTGTATGCTGCAGTCCCTGCCACCCCGGTGGCTCTCTCTGGGAAGCCGATCTCACCACCCACCCGCCTCAGCCAGGCGCAGCCAGGCCCGTGTTCCTGGGCCCGTTGGCCTCACCTGTTGTACTTGTGCTGGGCTCGGTTTCCCGGCAGATCTCCTCCCTGCCACGTGTGAACACAGGAGCCTGTGTAGATGGAGGCACGTGCAGCCGCAGGGTGCAGGCGGGCGTGGCCAGGCCGGGGCTCAGGGGCCTCCGGTGTCTGCGTGCTGTGGACATCGCATCCACACGGCGCGGGCTCCGTGTCCACGTGGCCCGGGCAGATTGCCGCCCTCCCAGAGGAGCCTTGGGACACACGCTTTCTGAGAAGTCGGCTGTGCCTGCCAGGTGCAGAAGCCACACCAAAACCATGCCACCTGCCCAGGGCCTCACAAGGCGGGAAGGTGGGAAACCATCCAAGAATTCAGACCTAGGGTGTGAGCCTATGGGTGGGTATGAGTCCTAGAAGAGGGAAACAAAAAACAAACCCACCACAGATCTCGAGAGCCCAGATCCCCAATCAGGACACTCACCAGACCATAGAGCACGGCCCTGGAAGACGGGCCAGGCCAGGCCAGAGCATGAGACAGAATCGTCCCCCAGAGAGCATCTGAAGGTGCTCTAAAGTGTTTGCATTCAAGTTTCAGGTCACTAGGAGGGAGAAAGAATGAAGGAGGATTTGGGAAAGAACCAAGTGGACATGCCAGGCTTCAGTGTTGTCCGTGCAGCTCCAGCACAAACCCGCCCAGCTGCCCTTGGCAGTGTGTGGACTGCGTTGCTCTGGGCATGCATGGTGCACAGCACAGAGCTGTGTTGGGACAGAGTGCGCCCCTGATGCTGGCCTGGGGTGGGTGGCGGCCATGTGTGGCACCGCCTGATCACTGTGACAGTGTTTCTGGAGAATATTCAGAGAAGATTTTTGATGGTGATCACTTGGTGATGATGGCCCCTCAGCCTTAGAAGAGTGTCTACGCCCTCATGTGACACACCCGTGTGTCACCGGCAGGTGCTCAGGGCCACATTCTGAGCTCTCCCATGTTCTAGAAGCCCAACATAGCAAGCCCAGCTTCTTCCTGCCAGGCCTCCCTGGGGCAGCCTTCCTGCACTTGGGCGGGCATGCTGCATGGTGGTGGAGAAGGCCATACCCAGGGAGAAGCTAACTGACCCCCCCTTCCCCCCCCCGTCCCAGTGAAGAGCAGTAGGCTTGCTTTCCCCCGGGTGGAGGCCAGGCCCAGCGGTTCACTGAGCCCCTGTGATTGCTTTTGCAGCCCCACGGAGGCCCCAGCAGCTCCTGAGGGGACAGCGGAGCCCCTGATGCAGTGTGCGGCCTGGCTGGACGCCTATTTCCACAAGCCCGCGGCCACGGAAGGGCTCCCCTTGCCTGCTCTCCACCATCCCGTGTTCCAGCAAGGTCAGTGCCCGCACCTCACGTGCGCTCCCCACAGGGGTCCTGACGTGTTAACCGTCCCTGCCATCACAGCTCATTACCGAGCACACTGATGTGCTGTTTCCCCATCATCCCAGCACCGGCCGCGTGCGGCCAAGCTGAAGGCCAGAGCGCGCGTCTCCACCCATTCTGAGTGGTTGTGTTAGTTTTGGCACATGGTCACATAATTCTTGGCAAAGGCAGTAAAAATGATGTGTGCAGATCGACTCTTGACTCTTGCTGGCTGAAAGGTTTAAATAGGAACACATCTGAATGGCAGTAAATTTTTCAATAAGCTTATTGTTAACTTAAACTGTCCGCCTGCCAACAGCACAGAAAATGAGACTTGTGTGTGGACAATTAGCCACCGCCATAAACTCACTCGGTGACAGCGACAGCAGTCTCCAGTTCCACTGTATCTTCCCAGATAAGCTTAAATTTCGTTCCTCAAACTTACCAGAGGTAGACATATTCTTGAGAGATGAAGGCAGAACTTACAGCTTACATGTAGTACACTAAAGACACAGAGCTTCTGATACGCTTAGAAAAAAAAATCCCAGGCATTTCGTTTGAAACTCTTATTTGGTCTGCTCAACACACAGATACTAACTACAGCAGTGAAAATCATTCCGACCCAAACTAGGAATTTATATCTGCATAGTGAGTTTTTATAAATAATCATTTTAGGGCTGGGAAAGTGGCTCAGTGGTTGAGCGCTTGCCTTGCATGCATGAGGCCCTGGGTTCGATTCCTCAGCACTACATAAGCAAAAAGAAAAAAGCCGGAGGTAGCGCTATGGCTCAAGAGGTAGAGCGCTAGCCTTGAGCTGAAGAGCTGAGGGACAGCGCCCAGGCCCAGAGTTCAGGCCCCACAACTGGACCCAAAAAAATTTTAAAAATAAATAATCATTTTAATGTAAATGAATATATTTGGATGCATATGTGTAGATATATATGTATCCTCATGGAAAAAAATGACCCTGAGATTTTAGATACGTTCTGAATTTCAAAGTGGTGCTTCAAGCACCATTCAGGGTATCCAAATTACAGCTTCTTGTCATCCGTACCCCTCCTGAAAACGGGAACAAGGACAGACTCCGGGGATTGTGCTGCTCCCTGACCAAGTTCACAGCGGCCAGATGAGGAAAGAGATAACACTGACTATTTGGGGGACAAAACAAATCAAAACCACAGCCGGACTGAACCCCATACCTCGTTCTTCCTCCCCTGCCTCGCTGAAAACCAAATCCAGAAGGCTTCTCTTGCAAGGACCCTGGTTTCTAAAATGGGGAGGACTGGGACCAAGGAACGGTCCTTTGCCGGACATGGCGCACACCCAAAGACCCGCCTTGACCACCCTGGAGCCCTGCCCGGCCCTTCCTCCCGCAGCTCCGTCCCACCCACGTCCAGCGGTGGGAGCTGCGGGATGGGGTCATGGTGCCGGCAGCCCAGCTCCCTGGTGGAGTCCACAGCCTGTCTCCCCCCACCCCCCCGGGCCAGGTGAGCAGAGATGAGTTTGGTTCTTGCATAGAACGGGTACCTGCGAGCAGAGGGCACCTCTCACCCCGCTTCCATCTGGAGTCCTGCCAACCCTGCCAGGGAAGGTGGGCGCCTGGCTGGCTTTGCTTCTCTTAAGTCTGCCAAGTAAGTCTTCGAGGTTTAATGACAGAAAATCATGAAACAGGACCACAGGTCTCTGAGGAATCCAGGCAGAGCGAGGAATGAGCCCGTAAAAGCCCAAACTTCACCTGACATTCGGTGTATGACTTAGTGGAAAATCACAGAGGCCAGAGCGGCAAGGAAATGACTGGCTTGTGTCAAGCTGGGCCCAGCTCCCACCCGAGTCCACAGACCACATGCTGCAGGCCAGGCCCGGCCTGGGAAGGATCCTTCCATCTGTTGGCATACAGTCCCAGCAAGGCTGAGCATCAGAGAGTGATGCAGAAATGACTCTGTAGCCACGGACCCCTGCTGTCCACCTAGTAGCCCTCGCTCAGGAAACTGCCCCCCAGGGGCTCAGCCACGTCCCCAGCACTTCGTCCCCACCCCCACCAGACCATACACGGGCCATGCCCTGTGCCTGACAGGCCCTGGGATCTCTGTGACCAGGAAGATAGAAGTAGCCATTGGGATAGGCCAGGCCACCCACCCACCACTGCCCTGCAGTACAGCAGGGCTTCGCTAACCGGGACAGCATCCCCTCCTGCAGCTCAGCCTCCTGATGGCCTGGACACTTGGAGCCCAGGGCAGACCCGGAGCGTTTGGCCCCAGAGTCCTCTCGGCCACCCCCTTCGCTCAGACCCACGCACGACAGCAGTTGCCTCTCTCTGCACTTGCAAGTCAGGTCTGGGTTTTGTTGTTACTGCCTGTTTTGTTTTTTGTGCCAATCCTGGGTCTTGAACTCAGGGCCTATGCACTGTCCTAAGCTTTTATGCTTAAGGTTAGCTGTCTGCCACTTGATCCATAGCTTTACTTCCAGCTTTTTAAATGTGGTTAATTGTAGATAAGTGTCTCAGAGACTTTGCTGCCCTGCTGGCGTTGAACCTCAAACCTCAGATCCCTGCCTCACAAATAGCTAGGATTATAGGTGTGAACCACCAGCACCCACTGAAATTAAAAGTTTTGTAGGTGAGGATTTACCAAATATTAGAAATTTCATCTGGTTCTTGAAATTCTCCCATCTGCAAGATCTCCAAAGATTAACAGAAGGTTGATCGTTCCTTTGTGAGAGGTGTTAGGCTGTCCTCGGAGGTCAGGAATCTGGAGGTGGCTGCTGCTGTCATGGGTGGGACTTTCCTGGGTGATGGGGGGGGGGGGACTTGGAGGTGGGGCCTGCGGACATGCATGCCTGCCTGTGGCAAAAGCCAAAAGGAAGCTGGGCTGTGGGGCTGTGTTCTGCATTCTTGTCGGATCTTGGTGCAGAAGTAATCAGGTCATTTCCTAAAATAAAATGAGCTGAGGCTTTCCTTCCGTTTTTGGGTTCTTTTCAGTTTGCTATTCTGGTTTATACTGATTTCTGCAGAATCATGTTTCTGTGGTTGTCGTGTCGCACAGTCAGGTATTTTACTTTTATGTGTTGCAAGTACCAAGGCTTTAATTCAGATCTCCTTACTTGTTGGCTGGTTCTCTGCCACTTGAGCCATGTCTCTAATCCAGCTTTGTGCTAGTTACTTGGAGATGGAGTCTCTCAGACTTTTCTGCTTAGTCTGGCTTTGAATTCCAGTCCCCAGAGCTCAGCCTCCTGATTACAGATGTGAGCCACCAGCACCAGCAGTGAGGTGTTGTAAGACGGCCAGTTTCTGCCGGCAGACCTGCAAAGGTCAGCCTCGTGTGTGCAGCTTAATGAAGCCGTTGTTCTTGAAGTGCGTCTTAATGTTTCTTTCATCTGAAGTGCATTTCACCTTTTGTCCTGCGTGTACTTCCCAACGTCTGTATTTATTCTTTGTATAATAGTTGGCTTAGAGATCATTGTCAAGAACAGTCACAGCGAGAAAATTAGTGGTTTTCCAAGAGCAGCACTCCACAGTGAGCTCAGGAAAAGCAGAGCTGCCAAACACCAGATGCAGAGTGAGCGTGGACATCTCTCCTTGTCCCTGAGCTCCCCGGACCCTGACTGCTGACCCCAGGCTGCTGCACTGGGCCTGGGCTTAGCAGTGCCCGCATGCCCATGGGCTGGAATGGCACTGAGCACCCCTCACCCCTGCGAGGGGAGGACCCATTCTGCCCGCCTGCCCTGGGCCTCCTCACAGACAGCAGCTTTCAGCAGAGGAGTTCTGAGTTTTCTCTTTAAAGTGGCTCCAATGTCCCTCTTAAATGAAATCCTTAACACTTTTATAACTCCTTTGTCGCAGCTGTTGGTTGTAGCTATGAAAGCCAGATGCATGGCAGCATAGGAGCTGCGTTTCTGAACCTCAGGCCACATGTGAGCAATGTACTCCTGCCCAGAGCCCAGAAGGGCACAGATGGCACGCGGTGTCCCCGGCGGGCCCCTCCTGTCCAGAGGGCCGGCTGAGAGGGAGACGCACTTGCAGGGTGACGTTTCCAGCCGTGTCCTGCGAGGTCTCCTGGCGAGCTTACAGGGATCCTGAAGGGCAGCCCCTGATCACAGGAGAGTCACTGTCGCTGGTGGCAGGGAAGAGGAGCCCTGCCCAACCCCCAGCTCCGCCCGTGTGCCCTGGAGGGAAAGGTGCCCCTGAGCACCCACCCCGGCGCCCTGGCTCTGTGTTCCCCGCCCTGCCTTGCTGTAATCACCCCTAGCTACACTCTGCAGAGCGGCGTGCACAAGAGTGCGTTCTGCCCAGGGCCTGCGGGTCTCCACGGGACCCAGCCTCCTGCCTTCAGGCCTTGCCCCGAGTCACCTAAATAATGCCCAGCACCAAGAGGACTGTTCCTAAAACAGGGCTGCTTTTCCCTTCTAAATGAGCCTTATAAAAGCTGTTGACCTGGCCCAGATGGCACCTGGTAGAGCGAAGGTTGGTGACCCTCCTTCCAGCGGCTGGCTACAGATTGGAACACCAGCCCCGCTCCTAACCTTAAGTGGGGAAGAAATGGCTGGTGACGATGTGACCGCGTACCTCTGCCGCCAATTCCTTTACAGAGACAACAGATGGAGAAATCAGGGCAGAAACCAACACCGAGGCTGCTAAGACCCAACGCGAAGCCCACAGAGGGCCGGCAGGCCAGGGTGGCGGGGCCGTAGTCATCGTGGGTACACCTTGGGACCACAGCCTGAAGCCCTGTAGAGCTAAAGCCCAGCAGGGGCCTGCACTGGTGGACCAGGACGGAAGACAGACGGGAGGAGATGGGGCAGGGGTGAGGGTGGGCAAGGGTCTGCAGAGTGAGTGGTGTGGTGGGAAATGAGTCCCAGAGGTGACCAGGGCGTGGAGCTCCTCCTGGAGGTGACCCCCGGCCTCTGCTGGGACGCTGGCTCCCCACAGAGCCAGGAAGCTCGGACATACCAGTCCCAGGGTGGAAGGCCATGTCCAT